GTGCCTTAGACTCATTTGCTGCTATGCCCATTGATTGTTCGATAGGAACATCAATTCTTGTTGGGGTATTAGCTACTAGTGTGTAAGATTTTGTCACATTTTTTGTGTCAGTGAATGCATCTGGTAACTGATTTGCAATACTTTGCAAATGAATGATCCTTTGAACTTCTAGTTCACATTGATTAGCACAAGGATCAGGATAGGATAATGTTGAAGTATTACAAATGATTTTCTGTCGAGCTTCGGGTTGCAACTTGTCTCCCCTTAATGATGGGAAAAATATTTCATTAAAATGACAATCCTCAAATCGTGCTTTAAACACATCACCAGTCAAAGGTTCTAGATATCTAATGATTGATGGAGAATCAAAACCAATATAAATTCCAAGTCTACATTGTGGACCCATCTTAGTTCGTTATGGGGGTGCAATAAGGACATATACAGCACAACCAAATACTCTAAGATGACTAACATTTGGTGGTTGACCAAATAATAGTTGTAATGAAGAGTATTCATGATATGCAGTCGGTGTAACACGAATCAAAGATATCGCATGCAATATAGCATAACCCCATGCTAAAATAGATAATTTGCTTTTCATAAGTAAAGGCCAAGCAATCAACTAAAGTCCCTTAATGAAAGATTTAACTAAACCATTTTGTGTATGAGTGTGTGCAACAAGGTGTTCAATATCAATACCAATAGACATGTAATAATAATCAAATGCTTAGGATGTAAATTCACTAGCATTATCTAAACAAATTGTCTTGATAGGATGGTTCGAGAAATGTGCTTGGAATCTAATTATTGGAGCAAGGAGTTTAGCAAATGCAACATTACGTATAGAAAGTAGACAAACATATGATCATCTGGTTGATGCATCTATTAAAACCATAAAATAATGAAATGCTCCACAGGAAGGGTATATGGGTCTATATATATCCCCTTGAATTCTTTGCAAAAAGGATGGAGATTCAACAATAACTTTTGTAGGTGATGGTATGGCAATTAATTTCCCTCGTGAACAAGTAGAACATGGATAATCATTTAGTAAAAGAATCTTCTGGTTCTTTAATGAATGTCCATGTGAATTTTTAATTATTTGACGCATTATTATGGATCCTAGACGCCCGAGTCGATCATGCCATAGCATAAATATTTTTGGGTTAAAGCACTTCTGGTGTATGACAATATGTGCCTTAATCATTTTTAACGTTTTATAATGTAATCTAGAAGAAAATGTAGGAAGTTATCTAATATTAGCTTATGGCCAGAATTAGTTAAAGTGATAAACAAATACTTTTCATGACCTTTATGTACAGTTTCAATATGATAACTATTACGATATATACCTTTGAACTTAACAGATTTCTTTTAGATCTGGTAGAATACAAAGCTTCATTAATACAAATTTCTCTTCCATTTGGCAACATAATATTGGCTCTTTCGGAGGCCTCAATTAGGTGTACAGAACCTGAAATTGCATTAATATTAGTTTTTCCTATGATTAATTGTATAAAATATTTTGCATCACGTAAGATTATGTGTGTGGTTGCACTGTCCATTAAACAAATGTCATCACCAATTAGTTTGCAATTAGTCAATGCATCAATGAAAGTCATGCCTATAAAAAACTTAAATTCATTACTCTGAAAAAAGGAAAAATACAAACTCTAAAGGCTTAACTAAAACAAGAAAATGCACACTCCTAAGTAGAAAAATATATATTTCAAAATCGTAAAACAGGATAATACAAAGCATAACTCAAAAACATGATATCTAGAAAATCATATTAATCGGTGTGAGTGTTTCCATCACTAATTAAATGATCAATTTTTCCTTCAAGGTCTTCAAAGAAATCAGACACATCAAGATGATTAATATCAATTGGTTCATAATGATCTATGAAGTGCATCTCAATTCTTTTTTCCTTTTCTTTTATCGAGGCTTGATAAAGATCAACCAAATATTTGGGTGTACGACAAGTACGTGACCAATGTCCTTTTATAGCACATCTGTAACAAGTATCTTCATAATTCTTTGAAGGTTTATTCTGTAAGCCTTTTTCCTTTTCTTGTGATGTCCCATAATTATTTCACTTCTGGTGGAATGGCATGGTATTTTTATTCAAATATTTTTGAATATGTCCCCCCATAGATTCTATAATTATTTCTACCTCGGCCACGTCCAAAACCATGACCTCTCTGTCGTCTACGACCATGATATGCAATCTTATTCACTTCGGGGAATGGGACAGAACCAGTTAGACGGGATTGATAATTTCTCAGTAAAAGTTGATTGGTTTGTTCAGCTACAAGAAGGCATGATATTAGTTCAGAGTACTTAGAAAATCGACACTCTATATTGCTGCTGCAAGAGCACATTATCAGCGTGAAATGTGGAGAACGTTTTTTCAAGTATATCCTCTTCAATAATTTTTCTCCACATAATTTTAATCGTGAGATAATTTTAAATAAAATGGAGTTAAACTTACTAACTAATTTATAATCTTGCAATTTCAGGTGCAACTAATCGTGATGATCTCTTGGGAAGATTATGGTCTTGTGGTGCTTGTATCTCTCCTTCAAATGAATATCATTGCTTTTGCGTGATTCTACAGGGATGCTTCATTTTTATTCTTTATGGTATCTCCAAGATTTATTGCCTCTCAACATCAAGAATCCAAGATAAGTAATTCTTCCTAGAAATGTCAAGAGCTAAGAACTTCAATTTTGAAAGATTTGACATGTTTATGCACTATATATAATAAACATAATATATTTAGTATCACGTGAATATATTAAGAAAAATATAGAATTAATTTTAAAATTTATTTATACTTACATTGACTACTTAGTCATTTTTTCTTTTCTGTTGGTTAGAATTTCGTGTTGATAACGTGTTATAAAACTAAATAAAGTAAAGAGAGGTGTAAACAAATGAGGGAGATATTTCTTTATGGAGTAAATTGGATCCATTCTACAAGCAGCAAGTCAGTTTACTTTTATAGGCAAACTGATACATATGTATGAATTAATTGCTTGTTTCATGAAGGAAATATTTATTAAATATAAACATATATTATGACTATTGTTAGGGGTGTGCGCGGTGTGATTCGGACGATTTGAGAGTAAAATTATAAATTAAATGGTGGATTAGCGGATTAGCAGATTGACGGATTGAAGAATATTCTAACCAATTATCAAGTATTTGCATAATATATAATACTAATTTACATAATATTTTTTCATATATATAACATAAACTAATTTTACATAATTTTTTTTCACATATATAACTATTAATGTGTAATAAATTTCACATATTAAATCTCTTTCACACGCATTTTTAATTTGATATTTCATTATAGATTAAAAAATATATATATATATATATTAATTATGACAGAGCGAAACGGTTTCAAAGGCGGATTATAAATTATAAATTTTAAACTACGGTTAGCGATTAGAACAATACGAATTAATACGAACCGATACGATTTTACTTAAATTGATGCGAATCGATACGATTTTATCATATTAAAAATATTTTGCACAGTCTTAATTATTGTGCAATCTCGTAAAGCTACACACTTTTGTGCATTCTCGTAAAATTACACATTTCTTTTGCGCGGGGTCAAATCTTTTGGTGGTAGTTATCCAAATATTATACAATAATTTTCTATTTATGCCAATTATTTTTATATTACAATTAATTTATGTTTTTTAAGGTGGGGAAAAAGACAAATACAGTGTGTTTGGTAACATTTACGTTTTCAGTTTATATTTACAAAAATTTTATAAACTGATTTTTGTTTATTTTTTGTTTATTTTTAGAAAAATATAAATTACAAACGCGTTTGGTAATTGACAAAATATTTTAAAAAATTTAAAAATATAAAAAAAGTGAGAAATGACAATTGTGGCAAGTGGCGGCGGAAGACGGTGGTGGAAAGTGGTGACGGTGGGTGGTGGGTAGCTGGTGGCGGGTGAGTGGGTGGTGGTGGGTGGGTGGCGGACGATGGCGGGTGATGGGTGGTAGCGAGTGGGTGGTGGTGGTGGAGGGTGGTGGGTGGCGGATGGCGGATGGCGGGTGGTGGTGGGTGGTA